ATAATTTAAGACACTTTTACTCATACTCAAGAATGATTTCTTCCACTAATTTGACTAAATTGTTAATAAAGTTAATGATTTTTAGACCAGATTACTTCCATCTATCAGATACGTTACTCACATATTCAGGAAACATGGTCCAAAGAGATGTGAAAAAGCAGGAGGGGAGCTGTTTCTGTCCGTGCAGGGTCCGACCAGACCGGGAGTGAGCTCTACTTTAGTGTATATGTGTGTGTGTGTGTGTGTGTGTGTGTGTGTGTGAGTGTGTGTGTGTGTGTGTGGCGGCGATCTTCTCTGCAGCCTGAGTCATACACTAAGATGTAGCTACAGCAGAGCCCCCGGTTTCACAGCTCTCTGGGTAAACTGGCAGTCGGTAATCAGTTGCACGGGGGAGGGAGGGGGCGGGTGTAGAGAGGAGAAATGAGGAGAAGACAGGAGGGGAGAAGGATAAGGATAGAACGAAAAGCCTACTTAAGAACCCGTGTGTGTGCGTGTGTGTGTGTGTGTGTGTGTCTATATGTGTGTATGGGAGAGAAGGGGGGGGGGTTGCTATGGTGAGGCCAAGATGGTGGTGAGACAAGTGATGATCTTATGCTGAAACTGACCTGGAGGAGAAGAGCATGCTAATTTGCAATTAAGATTGATTCTTCTTGTAAATTATGGAGGTGATTGTCTAACAAGGGTGAGCAGATTTAGTTCTCAAAGGCAAGTGTATTGAAGACTTCCTACAGTTAGACTTATATATAATCAGACTTATATTAGTGAAGGTAAAAGAAGAAGAAAGTTGATGATTACCAAACAAACATGACATGACTGACATGTCTGGTGGTCTGTTTGGTTTTACTTTACTTTGAAATCAGAGATCTTAAGACTTTCAGCACATATTGCTCCCTCTTTGTACGTCTTCCTCAGACACACACACACACACACACACACACACGCAGCTCTAGTTGAAGAGGATTGTAATTACAGACAATCTGTCTAACAGCGGGGTGCCTCCTGTCTGGAAATCACCGAAAACACCAACTGCTCCTATGGAACTGTGTCATGGCGAACCGCTCATTATTATTGAAAGTGACGGAAAATCGATAATGAACAAATCCTGACCAGTCGGTCCGACAATCAGGAAAAACTCCTGTTACTATGAGAAAAAACTATTTTTATACCTTATATTTTGACCTTGTTTTGTCTTGTTAATGGTTTGAGCCTGTTTAAATGACCTGACAGTGAACGATGGAGTTACATTTGGTGGATGAAAGTGGAATTATAGCTATAAAAATGCTCCGTTGTGGATAGAGGGAAAAGGGGTGAAGGGAAGGCAAGTTTGTAAGTGACTCTAAAAGCTTATCTGCTGATCCATTAATACCAAAACTGACCTGAGCTTAATAAGTGGCATCACCTGTGAGGCATCTGTCACACAGACAGACAAACAGAGAGAGAGATCCCCAGTGGCCACAGTCTGTGTTGCACCTTCCTCAGATTCAGATCCTTTACATAAGTCATAAGTAGAAATACTGTCATGGAATTATACTGCATTAAGAGTCCAGTATTTAACATTATCACAGAACTGTATGTGAAGTACCATAACACCTGCCATTGCTATATATTATATTACTTGTTTATTATTACTGATGCATTATCATTAGCTACACAGGTGTGAGATGCTGTTGGGGTTGAAGCTGGGTGGAGTTATACACAGAGTTACATGACTTCACCCTTAAGTACTAGTTAATCAACATTGTACTTAAAGCTTTGTCCACCTGGGGAAGCACAACAAGCCGCAACAACAGCACTGACATATGGTGAACTTGTCAGCCAACATCTGCTTATTGCACATCCAGGAGTCATGCAGTGGAGTCACGCTTCTGCCCACCCGGTGAATGCAATATTTACTCGTCTTTTTAGCTCTGGTTTTGTTCTCCACTGACATCTGAGGAAAACATCTGGCCCTCCAGCTGCTGAAATACCCCGCTATGTTCACCAGCTAGTTGCTCTGTCTGTTTTTGCCTCTCGGATGTATCTCTATGAATCTCATGTGAAAATGAGATTAATTGTTGAGTTGTGCGAGAATTATCAAATCGTTTAACCCATTATTAATATGAAAACAATGATTAGAGAAGCTTAAAATGTACTTTACGTTCCACTACTGATATTCCTCACTGAATGTAACAGGTGAATGAATCTGCTGAACTAGTTCTAGTTCATATGGGTTACATGTTGAACGCTAGATTATGCAAAAAATCTTGCTTTGATTTAGGTTCATCCCTAAATTCAGGTGTCACTCAAAGTTTTGTGGTTTAAATCTACAAAATAAAACACAGGTTAAAAAATAATGCTTTTAAACTGAAGGGATATTTAACAGGATTATAACTATGAAACATTTTAATTCAACAAGTGCAGTGTCTCTTGCACCATGTTGCAAAATTAACTAGAGGAATATCTAACAAAAATATCTACGTCTATATCTAGAAAACCAAGGACCATTTATTATTTTCCATTTACAGGATATATGTCCTTGAAATAACAGATCTGGTTGCATAATTCAGACTTGTGTAACTCATATTTCATCATTCTGTATCTGCTTCACAGCCTTAATGAGAGACAGGGAACGAGTAGGTGGGCCCTCTGAGAATTCTGGGAAGACAGGAAGTCATGGATGAGTAGTTCCTGTGCTGACAGGATGGAGGCATCAAAGTGAAGCATCAGGCAGCTGGAAAAGTGTAGGTGCTATACATATAAAATCAGGGAATTAATCATTTCTGCATTAAGTGTGTTGATGTTACACAACTGCATTCAGACACAGACATGTCATCCTGCAGGAACTAAAGCCCTGTGTTTCAGTATCTGTAGCTCCCTCAGTGTTTTAGAGCTAGCTACTGAATGATGGACTTTACTTCTTCTTTAAAGGAAAAGAAAATGAAGTGAAGTCCTGTCAGTGCCGAGGCTTAAATGGTTCATACAGCGGGACAAAGGAAGAAGAAAGCACAGGAGAGATTATATGATGTGTGGCCTACTTCTGGAGGTCCAGTCACTCTTTGTACCTGCTCAATCCCTCCTGCTCTCATTCTCTTATCCCATCAGCAGGTGTGTGTGACTCACCTCATCCTAACAACTGGATCACACACACAAATAAATATACAATAAATGTGTAAATGGTAATACACTTTTTACAATGGTGTTTACACAGAGGCATCCCCTCCTCCTCTTACAAAACACACACACACACACACACACACACACAAGGAGGGAGTTAAAATGACAGGATACATAGACAACGTGCATTCTCTTGTAGCCTACATATAAAAGCATTTAAGGCCTGTACTTTGTGAGTTTAGATTAGCGTGTTGTATGGTAAGCAACACGTGTTAAGAGGAAAAAGAAGGAGATTAATCTCACCAATATGGATGCATACCGATAGGAATGATGGAAGACCAGTGGCTCCAGAGAAAAATAAAAAATAATTTAAAAAAAACAAACTAATTTTGACAGTAAGATGTTAAAGTGAGGTCGAGTGAGGACCAGCAGTGAGCACGGGCCGAGGTGTGAACCGCTCCGTCTGCCACATCGGCCAGAGTTGTGCCGCAGGTTCCACCGGAGATCGTACATACGGAGAGCATGTTCAGACACGCGTCAATTCAGCAGCTCACAGACCGGAAGTACACTGATTAAGACTTCCAAATTAATTTGTAAATATAAAATCATAATTTAAACAGCCGACATAAATCACATAAGGAACATGTAAAATCCAGACAGACGCATTGCCAACCTGCCAAAAAAATAAGAAATAAAAAAATAAAATCAGAAGTAATTTGACATTCTTAATTTCATCTGCAGCAGCTCTCATTATCCCTGGACACCTCCTTAATAATAAATTAATTTTACTGTGTATTTTAGGGATTAAGATAAATGACAAAATCAGTCTTAAAGTGGGTTTTGTGCGTTTCTACTTTATTGACATTAGCCCATAATTATAATGACATTAATCAAAACAGATATACAGTATATATGTACTAACATTAGATGTAAAAGAATAGATTTGAACTAGAGTTTCAGACTGTTTTTCTTTAACTTTAGGGGCAACTGGCAATAAAGAGAGCTCACTTTTCTGTATTATTCTGGGAGGGAGGGGGGGGGGCTCTGCAGGCCTTGTTATAATCTTTATTTTAAACATTTATCCCACCAAAACAAATTTTTCAGGAAACAAACCACATTTAACTTTCAAAACTTTCCCATTGATCACAGTCAGTTTTCATGTGTTTTTTTTTGTGTATAAAATTAGTTTTTAATATTAATAAAGTTCATGATTAGATTTCCAACAGATTCATTATCAAGAGAAGAGAAAAAAATTGCACTTGAAAATGCAGCTGATAAAATTTTTATTTTTAAATGCAAGACCGGAAATAGTATTTCTAACTTTGGCAAACTTGACAAACCCTTTATCTTTACGTTAAAACCCTGTCTAATGTCTTTTACTTTATTTCTTGAAGATCCAGAGGAGGAGGAGGAGGAGGAGAGGCAGAAGAAGAGGGGAGAAGAATGGAGAGGAGGAGGAGGCGGCCGGGGGAGAAGAACAGTGGGAGGAGTGGGATTCATGTTAAAGAGGATTAAACCAGCCTGAGCCATCTGTGGCCCCGGACTGATAAGCCTAGTTATCAGACAGATCCACTACCAGCTCCGGGGTTCTCTCACAATCTCACTGACAACACAAACAGTAACTAAATGGTCAACCAAAACGGTCGCAATTAAACCTGATGAACAACAGGTGTCCGCTAAACTAATTATGCTAATAGCTATGTTATTATTTCGGAATGTTTTGTTAATAATTGGTTAATTAAATAGATACAAAACTATTACTTATGCTTCCCTGTAGTGATATGTCAGAAAGCTCAAACTAAACCATCGTGCAACTGAGATTCTCCCACACGTCCTGCGTGCACCTGACGTCATCGCGTAACAGAGGCGAATGCTTCCGCGTCCGTCTCCCATGGCAACCAAGTGCACTCGCGTCGCTAATCGTCGTTAATCAAGGATGGATTCTCTTTCAGAGAGTGAGATAGCGCAGATAGCGAGACTCCAGGTAGGCAGGCACTGAATCAACACCTGGGGCTTTGACTGAAACGTTATTATTGTGCCTTCAAACGCTGTTATGGATTTTAAAAAACGAACACAATCAACCCAAACATGAAGTAACCGACCGGGGGTTGAGAGTTAGGGCCATCAAAACACATGCTTTTGAAAATTATTAGCTCATTACAACCTTTTTTAAACATACGCTTTGGCTTCCAGATATATTATCAAGATTTATATTGTGTACCTTTTCTACACTTTTTCACATTTCAGAATAAAATATTAACCTAAGCCTAATACTTTCAACTCCACTAGATTTATCTGACAGCTTGACTTACTTTTTAGATTAATGTACAAAACAATATGATACCATATATAATCAGATATATTGCTATAAACAACCTACGCACCAGGAGATAAAATAAAAACTTTATGGATCCCACAGTCACAGAGGCAAAAGGAAATACAACTATACATGTAACCAAAATAAAAACTGAGAATCTACATGTGCAAAAAGAAGCACAAAAAACAAAACAAAAGGGTAACAAATACTATATACACCAAACATAAATAAGACGTTCAATAAATTGCCTGTACTGAGCAGCAAGTCACACTGACGTGAATTTAACAGAAAATATGCATGTACTTGTATGGCTGTGCTTTCAGAGAGATGCTGGCGTGCAGAGGCTCAGCTGTCACTTTTCATGGCCTGAGTTCTGTGATGAACGGCGCTGCTTCCATCAGGAGTTTGCGTATGATGTTGCTATGTTTGCCGCCGCCTGTGGCTTCCCCTGGCCTGCTGTAATCCAGACAGCTGTAATTGCCAAATGCATCTTCCCACAGCTGGATGGTGAGAGCAGACAGAAGTCTTGCAGGTGGTAGAGTGCTTCACCCGGAGGTTATGATCAAAGATGTTTTAATATGACCACCAGAAAGAATATTGTTTCAAAGTGGAGCTGAAAGGACCTAAATTAGACTGATTCCTCTGTGTCTTATTAAAACAGTATTATTAATGTAGGTCAACTACACCTAGGTCTGGAAGCTATTTAGTTTTTGAGCTGTACTTTTACTTTTATTGTCCTCTATCCATCAGGTCTGGACATACCCAAACTACTGTCCTTGCTGAGAGATGCGCTGTCTGAGTTTTTACCAAACCTCACCCCTGTGCACCGACACAAGTTCACCCAGTTCCTCGCAGACACCTGCTCCACACGATGGAGGCTTTTTCAGGCGGTGGTGGGTGGAGCTACGACCATGTCAATCACTCAGCTACACTTGGAGGTGCAGTTGCCGCCTACGCCATGCCCTCTCCCACAGGTAATAACCAGTTAACCATGCATGCTCATTTTAGTATTTAATTCAAAGAAGCCCTGCGCTGAGGTGCGGCCTTCTTCGTTGTCATCGTATTTCCTCATTTGTCTCACCTTCACAAAATGGCCCCTGCTGATCATTACACTGCACTTGTGCTGCAGGGCACAGAGGTGCATGAGTGGGAGCGTCAGCGCCAGCAAACCCAGCTCACCTCTACCTTGCGACAGAAGGAGGAGGAGCTGAGAAGTCTCAGAGATGGGTCAAGGGTCACTCTGGGGGATATTCCTGAGGATGTGCAACTGGACAAAGAGGTTAAAACCTGGAAATGTGTTTGCATAAACAGAAAAGTATCCTCTCTAGCTTTCAATCCCTGACTTAGATTGTGTCTGCCATTCTCTGTAGAGTGTGTTGGAGCTGGTTCGTGGAGCTCTGAGGGCCACTGAAGGCCAGATGCTGGTGAGTCTGAATCAAGAGGCCTCCCTGCTCAGTGACATCCTGCTGCTCAAACTGCAGCAGGCAGCTTTGGCCACTGGGAGGCTCCACAATCCTGTTACTTCCAGTACAGGTCACATCAGTGGACGTTCAGACACACCAGTAAAGGGAAAAAATACAAACAACAAAAACTAAAACACAAGTGAAGTCTGGAAATGCACCGTGACGACAAGAGCTCAGTGAATAAAACTGATTGGAGGAAAACTTAAATTACTTATGAGTGCTTAAGTTGTAATTGTACTTCTTTGCATTTTTTAATCTACTTGTGGGATAACCTGTATAACATCGAATTATGCATTCATGAGCTAATGTGCTGTAAATTGAATAGAATTGATTGTAGGGTTAGAGTTAACTCCTCATCTCCTGCAATGTTCACAACCTGGTTTATGATCATGTGCATGTTTGTGTGAGTGGACACAGAGGGAACAGTCATGAAAACTGGTTTCACACGAAGATTTATTAAAAAAAAACTCCTTCTGAGCCTGAGATCCTGTTGATTTAAGAGGAAAAGCTGCAAATAATAGCATCATAAATAACATCAACATAAATAAGTCAACATTAATAAATATTTAGCACCGAGACCGCAGCTTCTAAAACAGAACGCAACAATAAAAATAATTTAAATCTAAATGAAATAACAAAAACATCAACAGCACCTAGTGCAAAGGTCAAGTTATGGTTAGCTAGGGTAAGCAGCTTCTGTAATAACAGTACCCGAGGTAAAGCCTTTCAGTGTTTATGGTCACAGTGCTGGCGACCAGTTGGAGTGCAGCTCTTATTAAAAGCCAACTGGTCTTTCAGGATGGCAGAAGAGCCTCCTAAGGCGAGCGTGTAGCTGCTACAGCAGGCTAGCAAAATCATCTGCACACTTACACATAAATACAGACATACAGTACATTCAGTGCTAACACCTGACTCTCTTACAGGTTTAGTAACTTCGTGACAGTATCTAGCATGCTCTGGCATCACATCTTTAGATTCAGCTGGATGGATGAAGACGAGAGAGAAAAAGAGGGATGAGATGAACGGTGAGGAGGGAGAGGAGGATGATGCGTGATTTTTCTAAAGTGTAATAAGGAAGGCTAAAAAAGCTCTTAAATCCTCAATGTCACCTCGCTTCAAATAAAACCTTTTATGGAGTTGCTACAAATATGCTACATAAAGGCTCAGTAGGCTTGTGCCACCTGGTTGCCCATAGTGATGTGAGTGACCATGGTCTGCACCAGCTCTGGGAGGTCGTACTCGTGCTTCCAGCCCCAGTCCCGCCTCGCTGCGCTGTCCTCTAATGCCATTGGCCAGCCGTCCGCTGAAAGAGAGAGAAAAGATATTTGATTAAAGGTGTCCAGCCTAAATATGTATAATTGACATCATATAGCAGTATCACCTATAGCTTGTCGGACAGGATCCACATTGTAGGTGACCTTAAGGTCAGGCAGGAATTTCTGTATTTCCTGGGTGAGGTCGTGTGGCGTGAAGCTCATGGCGTTGATGTTGTAGGTGCGGTTGATGAGTGTCTCAGCTGGAGCCTCCAGGAACTCTAGAGTAGCCCTGAGACAGTCATCTGGACAAGAGGGGGAGGAGTGGGTGAAGATGAAGGGGCCAAGTAAAAGGCGATGAAAAAGACGAGGGTTAGAGTATGAATATCACTTGTAAAATTAAAACATCGACAGGGAAAAACACACATTTCTCACATAAAACGACTGAATCTAGTACCTATGTACATCATTGGAAGCCGCGTGTCACCGCGCAGGTTACACTCGAATTGACCGGTCTTCACAGCTGCATGGAAGATCTGCACTGCATAGTCTGGGAAATGGAGGAAGAGATCATGACGATGACCAATGACACCAGGCAGCAGACAAGCAGGACAGGGGTTGGTGTCATCCCAAGTTCAGTTCTTATACCTGCTTACCTGTGGTTCCTCCTCCAGGCTGGGAGTCAGCTGAAATGATGCCTGGATACCTGAGACAGCGGAAATCCAGCCCATACCTGTGGTGGTAATACTGAGAAAGAAACAGAGGGAATAAAAAACACCAGAAATAAAAAATAAAAACACCACCCTTATAGTGACATAAAAAAACTAAATCGCACTGTCCCAATCTGTATGTGTGTATGGGTGTATGTGTCTCACCTCACCCATCAGCTCTGCGTGGACCTTGGACACACCGTAGATGGTGCGCGGTCTCTGCACACACAGCTCAGGGGTGGGGTCCCTGGGTGAGGATGGACCAAAGGCACCGATAGTGCTGGGGACAAACACACGCAGACCATGTTCGGTTGCAATGTCTAATATGTTATGGAGACCTACAAAGAGAGAGAGGCTGTGCATAAGTGTGCTACATTAAGATGGCTCTAAATGCTGTTGCAACATACACTAAGAATTTGTCACCAAATGTCCATCCTCCAGTAATATCACAGTATTATTTGACAGATATGTATGTGTGTGTGTGTGTGTGTTTGTGTGTGTACCTGTGATGTTGACCTCTTTGGCCAGAGCGACGTTGTTCTCTCCCACAGCAGACAGCACAGCTGAGTAGTGAACCAGCCAGCTGATGTTGTTGTTGACCACAATCTCCCTGAGGTTCTTATAGTCCAGGATGTCTGAGAAGATGAACGGACCTGTGGAGGACACATGCACACAGAGGTGAACAGCGTCTCCCCACTCATTTGCAGATACAGATATTGTTGCCAGTTGTTAAACACTTTCACCCCACAATCCTAGTTCTAGTACAAAGGTTTTGCATTTGCACTTGATCCCTGCAGCTTTTTCTCCACAAAGTTAGCAACCCCTGCCCATCTCTAATACACCCCACCTCTGCAGAGTCATCCAAGAGCTTCTGCAGGTGACATGATTCAGAGTGATACTGGAAATCTGAGGAGTACAGAGTGAACAGAAACAGAGACAGTCCAGTTCCCTGTGGCGCTCCTGTGTTACTAACCACCGCATCAGACAGGGAGCTCCACAGCTGAACAAGTAATCTTTAATAACCCATTTTTATAATTTTGATCTTTGAAATTCTATTCTTTATATTGCACCCACACATTCCTCTGCAGATATTAAGATATGATTAAGATAAAGAGGCACCCAAGGGAAACTGGCTAAGGCAGAGAGTTTATTTAGTTTTATCCAACAATGAAAAATGAATGCAAGGAGGAAGAAATTCCATTTGGATTGTCCAGCGATCCCATGAAATGCATCCAAGGAATTTTGGCAATTAAATGTATTTTCTGTGTCAACTTCAGTTCAAATGCTGTCCAGTCAAAATATTGTGTTTTTGGTTTGGTTATCTCAGCCTCTTCTGTTCTTCTGAATGTTTCAAATTAGTGCGACAGAAGGTATTGCTTGTCTTGACTCTGAGAGGCCACACACACAACTGAATTCACATTGCATTCTATACAGCAGGCTTTTCAGGTATACGCACCGTTATGGTAGACATGGTTGGGAGGTTTCCGGATGTCAGACAGGATCACGTTGTTTTTTCCAATGCGTCTCCTGAGGGTAAAACATGAAGACAGGTCAGTTCTGGAAAATCAGCAAACAGTTCTGCACAATTTCCATTTCTGAGACTAACTGGACAAGACGGATCAATTAACCCTGGATAGAAGGACTTGATTTTTCAGGCTTTTATACACAACTCCCTGACATTTGTAATAACTGTTTTCACAGCCTCTTTGAGCGACCGATCACATCCTGTATTAAACTGTTTGCAAGTACCAACATAACTCGCCATAACTCTTCATTCAGACCAATTTGCTACTGAACATAGAATGGGATCCAAAAGTCTGGGAGGACTTTCCTTTTTACTTGAATGTGGAAGTACAAACCAACTACACCACCACTGGACATAGCTAAACAATAAAACAGGATGTTACCTTAGCATCTTGGCAAGCCCCACCCCCAGCTGTCCAAGTCCTCCTAGGGGACATACAGATTAAGGGACATGGCGATTGATTTGACTTGTTTCTGTAAGAGGAAACGTTTAGGAGGAAACTCAATGACACAATACAAAAACCAACCCGTGATGAGGACTTTAGGGAGGTCAGTATCAGTGCAGGCTGAACACTGACTTCTCCCAGAGGCAGATGACTGTCGCGAAGATGAGCTGATACCACGCGCTGCTGTGAACAATCGCTCAACACTGCACTGGGGCCTGCTCCCAGCATGCTTCGCTGCACCTTTCAGCAACTGCACCACCAGCATCATAAAGCCTCCTAAAAACAAATACATGTATTATTGACATTAAATAAAGGTTTACTTGAGGGAAGTACATTTAAAATACTCAGCTATGATGGTATGCAGCAATTAAATTACATTACTATTACTAAGCACAGCTGCATAGTCAAAGGCACCTTAGGTCACCAAAATTAAGGCATGAGCGTATCACTCTAGACGCCTGATGTACAGAGCAGTGTGTCTAATTTGTGTTAATGAATGACTACTATTCTACATATCTATGTCTGGTCATCTCTATTTTTGTTGTTGCACTCTCGCCAACCGCTTCTTCAATTCTTGGTCTTTAATAAGCCTCATCAATTAGTCTAGATACAAAATGCTGTGTATTAGTTAACACTATATGTGTGAATGAAGTCTTGCCTAACCCCCTTACACCCATCTGAGATTAGCTTCTTACAGCCTGCTGCTGCTTTGGCCTATATATAGACTTATCTATATTCTAGACCACTATTAAGCTCATGGTGGCAGTCAGATTAATGTGGCCAAATCCAAAACACCAGTCTTGACGTGTGCAAGTACAAAATCATACAATCTAGCAGCCTCGCAATAGACATTACATTTGTATATAGTATTATGTTAAACACAAGCACATCATGTCACGCTCACACTAAACTAGTGCCTCAACAACAAACTTAACCAGTGTAAATTAGAAATTAATCAGGGTCATTTCATTACATTATGACACCTTCACTGTGGACACATGCATTGATTATTCCAAATATTACGAATTAATAAAGCTGGTACTGTACTGCTGTCCTCCCTTGTGTACATACCGATGTGAAAACAGTATCCAGACGATTATTTAAATCGTATTTAGCAGTGTTTAAAGAAGGATATGTGTTTGAAAACGATAAGTTATTTGAGATAGTGTCGTGTTTAGACAGTACCAACGTGGCTAACTATCCCAGGATTGTCTATCCCGAGTGCTAAGCAGAGGTAACCCCCTCCGTCATGAGTTAATAATGTGACTCTCATCTCTCCTCCTGCTGCTCAACGTTAGTTAACGGTAACGTTAGCCTAGCCATCATTCAACCGTCTCACATGAACTTTAGCTAGCTGAAGCTTAAAACTTAGCCAACCCAGTTGTAAACGGCTGCGCAACTGCCAACATAAAACGTGCAGGAAAATGACATTGATGCCTTACTTTGATGTGAACTGGAAAAATGAAAAGATGACCTGAAACTCCTTTAAACAGCCGGCGTTTGTGATGAAACCATAGGGATGAAACATGAAAGTAGACGCGTGGCTGCAGTAGACCGTCGTCGCACTGTGATTGGCTTAAGCTCCCAGAGGCTTGGCAACCGAGCCTGCCCAAATAAAAGACACACTTCCTGTTATACCTTTCAAAGTAAAAATCCGTATTTTCAAACGAGGTTGTACTTTTACTTTTTAAATGCAAGAAATGGTGATCACACTGACTTCCTGTGCTACTGTTGCTGCCATTGCTATCTCCAATGCACAAAACCGAGCATGTAATCCAGTAGTAACACCACCACAAACTGCAGTTTAAAAATTTGAAAAGATTTAAATCAATAACTCTGTGCTAAAAACAATTAAAATTCTGTTCTATTACAGGGTTATTCTATTGCAATGCGTTTTTTGAAATGGAAGATAAAAAGCTTTTGCTCCCTCACCATCCAAAATAGCTGTCATCTTAATAAAAAGATATTAATAATTTTGTTTTCTTTTGTTTTCCCCTCTTGTGTAGTTTCCCTTAATTAATTAAACAGCGCCCCTCTTGGTTGTCGATTAAAAGTCAATTAAGACGGTTAAAAGTGTCAAACAAGATGTCGCCAGCGTCCCGCCCTTTTTCTTATATACAGTCTATGCTCCCGCCACTGCGAATCTATGGATGAACACAGCGTTGGAGAAGAAAAACAAACCCTGAAGTGAAGTAACTCATACTTGCTCACACTCTGAACTTTTCATAACAGAAATATTATCAAACATATTTTAATGAAACAAGTTGTAGAGTTAGCTTGTTTTTGACTGTTGCCAGTCATATCGGCTGACGTCGTCTGGAAGCTAGCAAAGATGGAGAGTGATGGAGAGGGGCGATAAGGACTTCTGTCAACCAACAACTGTAGTGGGACATTAACGACATGACGTGGAAACTTCATCTACATGAAACAAAGAAGGATGGCCTTCAACTTCAAAAACGTGAGTCTAATAACACTCCCTGAATGTTTTTATTTATTTATTGCTAGCTTGTTTCTTTCCCGATGGCTAATTGTCTCTCCATGGCTGTTGTTGATGAAGGCTGTGTACTGTACTGAAGCTGCTGTGTTGGTGCTGCTGTCTACAGAGACAAACAAGGCCTGCAGAAGTTTTAGTTTTAGTTGTTTTTGTATTTATTAGTTGTTCAGTTAACTGTTGACTGCATGATATGTGATTGGGCAGATGCAGAAGGTTAGTAAGATGCTAGTGGTGGTTTTGTTTTGTTTATGTTGTACTGTACTCATTGGGTCACTGGCCTTAATAAGTAATTGAAAGGCCTTGTTTGCTATCTTTTACATACAGTACCAAGCATTTAACTAATAAGGACTATGTAAGTCATGTATTTGATACATGCATACCTTTTTGATTGAATGCACTTACTTGTGAATGGTTAGCACTGATACTGTATAAGCTTAATAATGTACATATTTTTCATGCTGAAAAGTCATGTATATATGATCCTATGAACCTTGATTTTTAAATATTCTTGGTAAAATGGGACATTGTCCTACTTTATAATTTATTTATTTGAATGACTCATCTGACTTGGCTTTTGAACCACTCCTCTGCTAAAATGAGCGCTGAGTTTCAGAGATAATTTAAGTGGCGCCTCTGAAAGAACAGCTGGCCCCAGTCTGGCTCTTAAGCCAGATCTGCCACTGCAGTCTATCCAACATATGAACTGTCTGCTTAACACTACATAAATTTTGTGCAAACCAGTGCATGATAGTTGTTAAATTTGGAAGTTCCCATAAGAATAAATGAAGTGCTCGTCCAGTTGTTGTGTATTTCACTAGAACAGTGACAGGTGTAATTAAGTTGGAGGAGATGAGTTCATGCAAACACCATAAAACTAATGGAATAGATTTCCCTCCTGTAATTAAGATGAAATTTGGTGTCAGTTATAACCTTGCCCCTGCTAATTATGTACAAGTGATTTATTCTCTGTTACACGCAGGAATATTAATTTGTGTCTTGCATTAGTGAATAGTGGATACGTGTGTACGCACAAATGTGCACATACACTCCTGGACAAACATACACACATACAACATCTTTACATGCATCTGTTGGGATTCGTCATAATTTTGCATAGAAATAGATTTTGCTCCGAATTTGCATCCAGCAGTCTGATCTCCTATCTCCTTGTCATCTTTGATTATCAATTTTTGATTTCTAACCTACTACAGGGTGTCATGCATGTGAGGAATCAGGCCCCTTACACATATCTGATCTTGCATTTTACCAGATGCTCAATATTTTAGTAGAACTTAAACAAGTTGATTGAGCAATTGATAGAAAATCCATCTGCAACAATTTTCATAATGGATTAATTGTTTACATCTATTTCTAATCAAGTATATTAACCATTCTCTGGTTCCAGTTTCTCCATTGTGAGGATTTGTAGCTTTTCGTTGTTTTTATATGTTTGTTAACTGAAAAAAATTGGTTTACAAGACATCTGAAGATGTCAAATGGAGTTCTGGGAAACTATTTGGATGTTTTATAGACTAAACAATTAATAAAAAAAATAATGGATAGAACAATAGCTAATAAAAGTAATTGTTAGTTGCTTCCTTACTTTTTCATTAATGTTTACTAGTTTTAACTTTATTATATTTTATTGTTAACTCAAATTGAAAATGTCTTTAAATCTTAAATCTTATCTAATGATGCAGAATATATATTGACACTTTTTAAAATAATACAGGCAAAAACAAATCATTTACAAATGTATTAACATTTGCAGACTTCTACATTGTAGATGTTATTGTGCATGTGTGTCTGCCTTCAGCCTGTGTTTCCTGAGAGCCACTAGGTGGCAGTAGATACCCAGAAATCCAAGAATTCAAGAGGCCTGCATCTCTACTGTGCATCCTGTTGTAGCTGCAAATGCAAAAAGATGAACTAACATTTTTAAAAAAAAATCTTTTGTGTAATTGTCTCATGTAAATTAGTTTAATTTTGTATTTGTATAATTAGTAACAGGTTTTACAATGGCTTCAAGAACCAGTTAGATTTTTCTTTTTAAAGGAAATGACAAGTCCATCTATTTCAAACATGACACATACTCAGCTTGTTAAAACAGATTTGTATTTTTTGTGTTTTCTGTAGCACTCGCTGTGAATTGACAATATCTTAGTATTTGGGGTGCTTGCTCCCCTGTTCCTAGAAAGTACAGTTGGCTTAGTATTAGTATGCATAAAAATACAGTATTTATTAGAGATGAATTGGATAGGATTTATCCATCAGGAGTGTTACAGCGGTCTTGTCTACCTCTACATTCCTAGCATCTGGATATGAGCCAGTTTTTCTTTTGGATTCAGTTCCAACCTTAGAGAACGGACAACAATGGATGATGCATGTCTTATTGTTCATTTGCTTAAATAGCCTCTGTTGTTTTTGCCATCTTGGAGGTCTGCCAAATATCTGAATATGAGGTATACACATATTCCAGGCTTGTTTTGCTCATTGTTGTCTTGTGCACATGCTTGAAATAACAGGATTCTTTTCTTGCTGTGGCAGCCTTGCTCCTCCACATGAAAAAGAAGATATTCTTTGTTTAATGTGGAAATGCAGCACGGGAAAAAAAAGAATTGTTTACATACACAAACGTGAATATAATTACTCATAATTTCCTGGTTGAAACAAAGGCTTTTACTCTCACAATAATGAAAGTATTATCATGCACACTGTCCAAACAATACAGTTAATAGTAAAACATTAGCATCCTACAATTATGGTGGAGAACTATCTGTTTTTTGTAACTTGTGTTAGCCATAAAGGATCTTATTGATCCACAGACTGGTTTCTTTATATTTGTTGTTGTTGTTGGTTTAAATCTTCTCCCTTGTAATTGGCAGTGTTGGAGGAAGTATTGAGATCATTTGCTGAAGTAAAAGAACAATACCACTGTGTAAAAAAAATACTTCATTACAAGTAAAAAGTCTGTGTCAAAATCTTACTCGTATTAAAAGCACAAAAGCATCAGCATTATATTGGAATATTGTTATTTCTGCAGGAACTGAAAGCGTCAAGGTGGAACTTTATTTAATGTTGGGTATTTTATTCTAAAACAATTCATTATATTTTATAAACTGTTAAAGTTTACTTCTGTAAAGTAACTGCAGCTGTGAAATAAATATAGTTAAGTAAAAAGTACAATATTTGCCTCTCAAATGTAGTGAAGTAGAACTATAATGAAGCATAAAACAGAAATACAAGTACCACAAAACTGTACAGTACTTGAGTAAATGTACTCAGTTACTTTCCACCACTGGTCATTTGACCAAAAAAACATCCATGTCTCCGCTTAATATCTGATCTTTTGTCAACATTAGAAAGCAATAAGTACTGTTACAAATAAGGTGTGTCTCATGCACAGCAGTCCCCATTGACTTCAACATAAAAGCAGCACTGTCGGTTTAAACTTAGCAAAATAAAAGCCTCTTGGATGTAGCACATCTCTATTAATTTGGAGCTGTCTTTTAATTTTACCTCATCTTTGTTCTGCAGCCACAAATGATTTCAGCCCAACATAAATAAGTTATTACGAGCACCGAGCTATCAACACAGTCACATAAACATAATTTACTCTGAATTAATTTCATTTAAAGGGAGCATATAACAAGAGAAAGTGATCCTTAAATCACGGTGGTGATAATACACATTGATCATAATAGATATTTTAAATAAATGCATGATAAAAAGTACAATTTCTGCAAATAAACCCTCTCAGAAAATAAACATACACAGTGTCACTCCAAGTAACGGTCCTCTTATTGTATGTGAATGAACTCCATCCCAGCGTTTAGTCAGTGTCTCTCCTAATTCACCATCATGACTCCAGCCGCTAATGGGATTGTAGTCAGGCCTATTTATTGCCATTAGGGAATTGAGGCTACATACAGTGGGTGAGGGGTTAATTAGAAACAACTGAAGGGGTCAGAGGTGTATATGTGCATATGTGTTGAGCACATGTGATCATGAGA